AAATACCTACCCTCCCTGCATCGTCTCACGGTTTGTGCTAACTCTACCATATACGGTTCTTTAAGAACTTGTTTCTTAAATGTAATTGGTTTATTTGCACTGCCTTAAGATTTATCCACGTTTCATAAATTTGGGAGCTCTTCTATGAGGCACACTTAAACATATGCAATCTGCTGCTCTCTCACACACATGCCTCTCACTTTACACATTTAAGTGCTATCCGAAATCCGAATAATCTATTCAAATAAAAAATTTATAACCGCATTATGATGACCTGAACCATACATAATGCATCTAAAAATATAATATAAATTCCTAGACCCATTGAATCCTGCAAATTTTCGTCTTTTAAATGTACATTCTACATTCAACTAGACTAATTTTATCTATTGAACTATCCGCATTGCTTGATTTTGCATGTTTGATTACAAAATATCGTCTTTATTTGATGCACTTGACAACTCTTGATTTGTCTAACCTATTTTTTATACTTTTTTCTTCACACTTCTTTAATAAGCTTCTTATTCTAACTAAGTCAATACTTCGTATTTACTTTCCTTTGTGCATTGACCTTAGATATTCCCATTTATCACCTTATTTTATTCCCTATTGAATTCGCCTTTTCGATTGCTCTTCTGATTCTCTTTTGTTTGCATATCTTTTATTGCGATTGCTACTTTACCTCTATTGAATTTATTGGTCGTTTGGCCGACAGACCACCAATTGCCGATAAAAAAGCCTCTTTTCGCACGCCCTCACAGATAAAGGATTGTCGTGTTCGCAAATCAATCCTTTTGCCTGCACCCTCGTCCTCTGTTATGGAGGAATGCCCTTCCTTAATGAATGTTAGCTCGCATCAGACTAAGCCAATTGCACGAAACAATGAGCAGAGTCAGTCAATTCCATCATTTCAAGAGCCGAATACCAACGATCTTTCAAATAATCCCTTTGGCTCTGAAAGCCCATCACCTGATCCAGCTACTTTCATTGATCCATTCTCACGGAAACCAGCCTTGATGTCGCCATCATCCTTCACCGTTTCAGACTCTCCAAGCATCTGCAATGATGGAAAAGCCTCTGCTAAATCTCAGTAGGTTTTGCCTTGTGTGCCTTTACTACGTGAAACAATTTTTAGTTGAAATTATAAGATGAACTCAGCTAGTGAAATTTGCATCCTTCCTATCCTCAGCATCAAAGAATATTACATGGGTCATTTTCATAGGATTTCTTTTTTTACGGCATTCACTGTTTAACAAAAGCGAATTTTCTTTGCATTTACATATATTCAACTAGATTTTCTTTGATTTTTTTCTCTTAATAAGAACTTAAACACTTTAGGTTGCTTGAGGTGATATAAGAACCCTTATTTGAGTTTTTTCCACAATGAGATAATTAGGCCTCTGCAAAATAATTTCATAATCCTTCCCTCTCAAAAGCTGCAGTTTCAATTGCTTCTAGGTCTCATCAGCATTCCCTGCAGTACTTTCCTAAGTATCACGATGATATTTATCACTCCACTACACGGCCACAGATGCCAGTGAATCGCATGGCAGATGCAACATTCTAGGCAAGCAAGGTCTCTCTCAGCCAATATTTTCATCGTGAGATTTTTTATTATGCGAACATGTGTTTGCTATTGTAATTGACGGCGTGCTTTGGCCATAATTCCTTGAGATAATCAGGCTTCTTTGCTGCACCTTATCTGCTTACTTAAATGATAATGATGCTACCTTTAGTCTAGATCTTTTTCAAGACTCTCTCCTTACATTTCCCATTAAAGAGTTATTTAGGTATTATTGATTACCAAATTCTTTTTAGCATGTTATATTTTATGTGTTTTTTCTATTTCTTTTGCGGCTGAATTGGGATTCTCACACTTTCTTTTTGATGTTCCTAGATTTTGCACCACTCCTTATGATTCATAGTTAATCTGAAATATTATCTGTAAGACGATGGATTTTTTATTTAAATCTTGAACTTTCTTCACCTGCTAGTTGTGGTTTTTGATTAATTCTTTCAATATTAAACAGATTTTATAGTGGCTCTAAGGCTGGAATTATAATAACTAATTCAGTAATTATTTCCTGACTCAGTGGATGATACGAATAATTGTAATGCTCTGATCGGTTAACTTCAGAGTTGGCTCGAATACACGCTACTTAAATGTTAGGTCAAAGTTTAGTCTCCTATAATGCCTTTTTCTGCACACGCTTGGCGATGCTCCCTACAACCATAATAGCTATTATATGTGCATATATATATTTTAAATTATTTGGGGATTCTGATGAACCAGCAAGCCTATTACTAAATGACCGAACTGATTTCTAGCTCATTTTAGGTGTGCAAGTCAGTTACTCATACAATTTAGCTTTGGGTATTGAATAGATTTCTCACTCCAGTTATTCATCAGTAATGTTCTCAAAATTATCCCCATACTTTACATACCTTTTACTAATATTTTCCTGTGCTTTATCTATTCTTCTCACTACTTAATTTTCCGAAGTTTGGCTTTATTTAATTTTCAGTATGTCTTTGATTGCAGGAACAACATGATATATTGCCTTGCCCTACGTATTATATCTTTCATGTCCAGTTGCTCTAAGCCCATGCATAGCTGTAAATATCTTTAATTTTTCTTTCATAGGATAAGGTTTTAATTTGCTATTATCATTGTTAATTTGCTTTCCTCTTTGTGTCTGGCTTCTTGATGCTATTGTAAAACACAACTTCTACCCTTATATCAATTACATTTCTTTAATTTTGCTTGTACGATATTTTTTGCTAGAAATAATGCCTGACAAGACAATGATTTGTGTTAATGCTTCGAATTCTCATGTTCACTCTGAATGAACAAAGATAGGAATTGACCTTTATGTTGATATTATTAGCTAATTTAGCTTACTTATGTAAGTAACATTGAAATTATTGGCCTAATCAACGTAAGATAATGGGCTCAAAATAGGTCGTTATTGCCTGTGGGGAAACTTGTTGTTGTCTGCATATTTCTAAATCTCCTACCATATAGTCTGTGTCAGGCAATACTTTTTGATTTTATGGTGCTAAGAGTGATATGACCTGTGTGTTTTTTTGAAATAAAAATTGCAGTTTTATAATTTGAGAGAAGTGTAAGATTCTACAAGGATGATTATGGCTTTCGAGCTTTACTTAGGCATAGGTATAAAGACCCAGCTGTTGGGGCTTCTGTTTTGGTCGCATTCTCCATTCGCTGTGTCAAAGTGATAAAATCTCGTTTTCGCAACACTTCTCAAGCTTGCAGATATAAGGCATCGTTTGCACTGACCATCTTCGATTCAATCATTGTACCCTGAGCAAACTTTGAAAATCTATCACTGGTCCTCTGTTGCTCCTCGAATGGATTTCTGGTCACCTTGGCTCCAATCTACTAGCCATAATGCCAGATTCCTGTGGCGGTTGTGATTATCCGTACCCCTGTTCCTGTGGCCGCCTTACGCAGCAGTCTACACCTTTCTTGCAATCTTTTTTCCTTTTGTTAACGATAGTTACTTGGTCCAGACGTATTCTTTTGCTGATACCGCAGTTTCCTTGTTTTCTCTCCGTTTGCTCAGGCAATAGGCAAAGTTATCGCTAGCATTGCCTTCTTCAAAGAATTCTTTAATGAAATATTCTGGCATGGCTCTCCATTTCGGAGGAAAAGTTGGTTGAAAGAAATTCGTGATGTAGTCTCACTAGAAACCGAAGAAGGATTGCCGAGTAAGGAAGACGGTTGAATTTGTGAAGAAGTCCTTAACTTACCTTTCTGCGATCCCGATGAAATGGCTGAGTTTTCGTCTATACCGTGGCAGACATCCTCAGAGCAAAAATTTAGGCTTTACTACATGAACATTACATACACACAGTAGGCAATATCACAAGCCCAAATACGCTTCAATTTTAGACGACCGTACGCTGCCACGGAACGCACTTCCGGTCGGGAACTTAATTCGTTCATTTAAAAGCATGTATTGTAAGGTTGAAGTAGCCTATCAAATCATGGGATACCTCATTAAGATTGCAGTGTTGGGTGTATAAAAAT